CCTACAATGGACGCGCCTCCTATACTCCTCACCATATTAGGGAATGTGGAATGCTGGTGGGCGAAACCAAACCGTAAACGGAGGGACATTCGATGATTCTTTTTAACACATTTGCTCCGTTGTATGCTCCGAGTGTCATGAATCCTAACCCGAGGAAACCATTTATTGATTTCGATACAGATATTCAACTCTTTATCCTGGCAGCCCACCCGGTTAAATACACTACTTAAAGTCAATCACAAAACTCCCTACGGCGCACATAGTTGATTCCACTCACGCTCTGAGGTGTTGTAGAGGACTGTACCATTTCTACAAATAGGGGAGTACAACTTGGAAAACAAAAGAGCAATAGCCCCACAAACAGATGGCAGCGAAGTCGGCGCGGAGGTTTAATTTTATCCGTAAAACATATTATGGGTTACAAGCGGCAAGACACGGCTCTGCTTTCCCGTGAAGAGGTTCGGAGGGCGTACGTCCACCCCCTGCCTGTGCTGTGAATGGTGCGTTCCAAGGCCCCGGTTTAGTGGTCGCTTGGCACCAGAGGCCCGGGCAGTCCTCCTCTGCCACCTGCTGGCACACAAAGGCCAGAGGGGGGGATCGGGGCCCAGGAAACAGGGTCAGTGGCCGGTGGGGGGAGAGAGCAGTGCCTCCGTCTGTCATGCTGTGAATGAATGTGAGTACTGGACGCTGGGAGATGGGGGGCACACCTGGGGGGAGGGGTGGTCTGTATACAGCTCAGTCCTCATCAGGAGCATGCATGCACATACTGCAATGGAGGGGCTGCAGTCCATCACCATGGAGACCGATGATCTCTACATTCGGAAAATCTGCCTTTAGATCGCTTTGATCGCCTTTGCAGTGCCCCCTCCCCTCCCCCCAGGAGAAATCTGATACATTGTAGTAGATCTGACTGTATGATCCTTTGTATCCATGAGGGAAATCATTCGTTTACATTGTATCTGAGCCAACAGGACAACCATCACTTATGTTCCTCAGATCTGGTGGCTGCATTCGTCCCCCCCCCCCTTTATTTTCACTTGGTGATCCTGCCAGAAACACACTTCCTGCCGTAGGGTGACAACACCCACTGTACTGTATCTACGGAGCAAGCGGCGTTGTCACCCCAGGACAGGAAGTGCGCCAGGACTCCATAACACACAGAGATCTCCATCGCCCTTCCACACGGGTTCAGAATTAGGCTTCATGTACACGACCAGCTTGGCATTTTATTTTTTAGCAAAGCTCCTAAACTCAAGTCTATAAAAGCCTGTGTGTCCATGTACATAAGGCGTGCAGCAGAGTTTAGGAGCTGCTGCGTTTAGGTGAGGTTAAACCTTGTTGGAACGCGAAGGAATCAGATTCAGGTTAGGAACGCTTTGACTGCTGACCGCGGTACCGCGTTTTTGCTGCAATTTGCGTTTCCTGGTGGTCAAAGTAGACTTGTGTACATGAAGCCTTAAAGTGCTACTAAACCCACAACAGTACAATCGTTCTGTAGATGCAGTAAAGCATGCTGGTTATACTCACTGTGGAACCTAAGGGGTTAATCCTCTGCATTGTGTAAAAAGGCTTTTTGATCCTGACTTCTCTGATCCTCCCCTTCTAGTGTCCCCAATCCATCTGCTGATAGTATAGTGCTCTGGTAGTCACTTTGCACATGCTCAGTTTAGTGGTTATGGCTTTTTTTTTCTTTGAGAGGGTGCATGTGATCAGCACAGGGCCAACCAGCAATGCCCAGACAGAGTTATGCAGCCTCATAGGACAATCAGGGGAATGAAAACTCCTCCTGCAAGATTTAACCAGTGCTCTGCTGGACACTGATAGAAGTCACAGGACTGCTCTATACAGCTTTTGAGAAAAGGAATTTAGCAGTTTATATTTACTAAAATAATTGGATTTCCATGTTCTGTGTAATGAGGGAAACCAGATATAGTGAATGCAGGGTCCGGGGGGGAGCGGATATAGTGAACGCAGGGTCCGGGGAGACCGGATATAGTGAACGCAGGGTCCGGGGGGACCGGATATAGTGAACGCAGGGTCCGGGGAGACCGGATATAGTGAACGCAGGGTCCGGGGAGACCGGATATAGTGAACGCAGGGTCCGGGGAGACCGGATATAGTGAACGCAGGGTCCGGGAGACCGGATATAGTGAACGCGGGGTCCGGGAGACCGGATATAGTGAATGCGGGGTCCGGGGAGACCGGATATAGTGAATGCGGGGTCCGGGGAAACCAGATATAGTGAATGCGGGGTCCGGGGAAACCAGATATAGTGAATGCGGGGTCCGGGGGGGAGCGGATATAGTGAACGCAGGGTCCGGGGAGAGTAGATATAGTGAATGCAGGGTCCTGAAATTAGAATGTTTTTTTTTTTTTTTTTTTAATGGTTTACTAAAACTATGTAGCAGAATACATATTTGCCTACATTCATGAATACATATTTATTTATTTTGTTTTATAGCAAAAATTAAAATATTGTTTGTTTTTAAAAATTTTCGTTTATTTTGCAAACAAATAAAAAGCCAATGGTGATCAAATACCACCAAAAGAAAGCTCTACTTGTAGGGAAAATAAATGAAATAAATGTCATCAGTGCAGCGTTTCAGTGCAGTTCAGCACAGCGTTTCATGACCGCATCAGGTAAAGTAACACTATGGCAAAAAGCAGAAAATCGCTTGGTCATGAAGGGGGTTAAATCTTCTGGGGGGGGGGTAAATGGTTAATCATGAATTAATGGCGATTTTATAAATGGGTCGGGAACTTCTTTTATGTGCTTGTCAGTCCATTATAATCAATAGATTTCCCTTCATGTGACACACGGAAAGGCATGCTCGCCGTCGCATCTGCATGGTGTGAATGGAGCCGTATTGAGCTAATGTACTTGTAATGAAGGCTGTCCCATGTCACGCAGGCAGCTGGATCCTGGAGAAATCTTCTGTGCAGGGATGCCCCGTCCTCTTCCTGGCTCTATCGTTCTGGCACTGCAAGAGTTAACAGCTCCTGGTCTCCTGTGAAGCTGCTGTGAATGAGTTCCCAAAGAGGCCCGCCCCATCCTCCCTTTTTCTTCCACTGTGAAATGTTTTTTTGTCGCTTTCACTCCCTGCAACAAAACCTGTGAATGGAGGAAATTCGGATGAATGACAGGATTCTTTCCTTCATTCACAGATCATGGGACAGGCAGTGAAAGAAAAAGGGGAGGAGGGGGCGGGTCCTCTTCGGGAATGGTTTACACAGCAGCTTCATAGAAGAGCTGAAGCTGTTAACCCCTGTAGCACCAGGAATGCTGAGACTGGAAGAGGACAGGGTATCCCTGCACAGAAGACTTCTCCAGGATCCAGCTGGATGCTGTAGGACATACTTCATTACAGATAGGTTGGCTCACTAAGCCTGGGTTGACACGGGAGCGGTGCAGGAAACTGAATGTGATTCGGATAGGAATCGTACCGCAATCCTGTTCAAACCACATGCGATTCTTTGCAGTGCGATTTGAACCCATTCTTTTTTTATGGGCTCCAATTGCATCGCACGTTAAAGCTGCATGCATCCTTTTTTTTTTTTTTCTGCACCAGCATCGGATCTCGTGGCCACGCAATCCATTTCTGGCAATTGCACTGTGTTTTGGGGTGTCACTAATGTATATTTGACACCCACGGCAGATCGCTGGGACATGGTGCGATTTCAGTGCAGTGTGGGAAATGCACAGGATTGGCTGCATTTCCTGCACTACAAGGCTAAAGCGATAGAGATTTTTTTTTTCTATTATTATGGCTAAACGTTAACCCCTTCCCACCTGTCCCAGGGTCTCATTAAAAAGTTCTGACCACAGGGATGGGAAGGAGTGGTTGAAAATGTGACCACTGTGATTGGCTGTCACAGTGGTCACATGATCAGGAGCAGGGACGGACTGACAACTCATGGGGCCCCCGGGCAATAGGGGATCATGGGACCCCTGTGTCCTTGCCCAAACTCAAAAAAGCTTATGAAAAAGGTACCAGGGGCATCTCATGGGGCCCCCTACTGACCCCGGGCCCTCGGGCAGTGCCCGAGTTTCCAAATGATCAGTCCACCCCTGGTCAGGAGCCAATCCTGCCAGCTACCGATCATTAGCAGGTACTGTCTTTCACAGCTCAGGCTCTGTGCTGTTTGATTTCTTTCTGCGCACATATGATTTATTTGGCTGCCAGGTTGAGGATAAGATTTCATTGGCTGCCGGGCTAAGGATAAGATTTCATTGGCTGCCGGGCTGAGGATAAGATTTCATTGGCTGCCGGGCTGAGGATAAGATTTCATTGGCTGCCGGGCTAAGGATAAGATTTCATTGGCTGCCGGGCTAAGGATAAGATTTCATTGGCTGCCGGGCTGAGGATAAGATTTCATTGGCTGCCGGGCTGAGGATAAGATTTCATTGGCTGCCGGGCTGAGGATAAGATTTCATTGGCTGCCGGGCTGAGGATAAGATTTCATTGGCTGCCGGGCTGAGGATAAGATTTCATTGGCTGCCAGGTTGAGGATGCGATTTAATTGGCTGCCAGGTTGAGGATGCGATTTGATTAGCTGCCAGGTTGAGGATGCGATTTGATTGGCTGCCAGGTTGAGGATGCGATTTGATTGGCTGCCAGGCTGAGGATGCGATTTGATTGGCTGCCAGGCTGAGGATGCGATTTCATTGGCTGCCAGGCTGAGGATGCGATTTCATTGGCTGCCAGGCTGAGGATGCGATTTCATTGGCTGCCAGGTTGAGGATGCGATTTAATTGGCTGCCAGGTTGAGGATGCGATTTAATTGGCTGCCAGGTTGAGGATGCGATTTCATTGGCTGCCAGGTTGAGGATGCGATTTCATTGGCTGCCAGGTTGAGGATGTGATTTAATTAGCTGCCAGGCTGGGGATGCGATTTCATTGGCTGCCAGGTTGAGGAAATGATTTCATTAGCTGTCAACATGTATATTGATCTTAAAAATTCTACTTTTGACTTCACTTTACAGCGTGCCAACTGATAGGATGAGCGAGTTAAAGGATTGCCCGCTGCAGTTCCATGAGTTCAAGTCTGTGGATCACGTGAAGCTTTGCCCCAGGTACACGGCGGTGCTGTCCCGGTCAGAGGACGATGGCATCGGTATTGAGGAGCTGGACACCCTTCAGCTGGAACTGGAAACACTCCTGTCCTCGGCCAGTCGGAGACTACGTGTGCTGGAGGCGGAGACTCAGGTGGGGCTCGGTTTTGATTTCAAGGGGGATGTTCACTTTTAGCAAAAATCAAGATCTCTTTATTGTGTCTTTGAAGTCAGAACTTTTTATAACTCTGTCTAGTTTTTACTTCTGTCTGTGTCCCCATTGCAAAGTTTTCCCCTTACTTCTGGTGTCCCCAACAGGGTGCTATATAAATGGAACATCTGTCAGGTTTTTATTGCTAAAATGAAAGTAAGTCACAAGCACACCAAAATGCATTTCTAAGATTTGCAAGACTCCATGTACACGGCAGCTGATAAACTGACGTTTAGGAGCTTTTCTGCGTTTTTTTTCAGCAGCCCCTGAACTCTCCCTAATGTTTTCCTATGTGTCCATGTACACATCGTCGTTTACAGGCAGTTGAGTTTACAGTCATTTTTTTTGAATGCACCAAACTTGCATTCAGGAGTAGATTTTATCAGCGTTTCAAACACCAAACGCTTGTAAATGCATGTAAACGCAACTAGCGTTTATAAGTATCTGCGTTTAGAATTTTTTTTTCAACTCTTCCATTTCCAAATGCTGTCCAGAGTCTTTTTTCATCTTGAAAAATGCATGCAAACAGGGGCGGGACTGACAACTCATGGGGCCCCTGGGCAATAGGGGATCATGGGGCCCCTGTGTCCTTGCCCACACTCAAAAAAAAAGCCTATGAAAAGGTACCAGGGGCATTTCATGGGGCCCCCTACTGACCCCGGGCCCTCGGGCAGTGCCCGAGTGCTCAAATGGTCAGTCCGCCCCTGCATGCAAAGCATTTTCCCAGTACTCAAATGGACCCGGTACACCGTACTTTGAGGTTTCGCATGAAAGAAAATATGTTAGACACTGCCGCAATAATTTCTGCACAGAAATGAGCTGGAAAACATCCAAACACCACAAAAAAAAACAAGACCGCTAATCTCCACAAATACTGCTCTATCTGCTTCTGCTCTCTTTATTTCTCTCAAAATGTCTGATATGGTTAATTTTTTACTGTTTTTCAGTGCATTCTGGGCATTTGGGAAGGTCTCCTTAAAAAACACTTCTAAACGCAAACGCGCATAAATGCGGTATGCAATCGCGGCTAAACAGACGTTTTTTTTTTAACCTACGTTTTCCAGCAGTCCGTTTCCATCGTTTAGAAGTGTCCCGTGTACATGGAGCCGTAGAACTGAATTCCAGGAATGGCAGTATTTACATAGTTACATTCTTTCAGCTTGGACCAGTATGTATGTGCCATACCTGTGGGATCCCTGTGGAAGTCGGAAATCACTGTAGCGGACACCGCTACTCCCGCAATCTCTATTAGCTTCTGGTCTTGTGCTGAGCAGCTGCCCTGCTGCATTGTGAACCAGGAGGTCGCTGGCTCGGTCTACTACAGTGATTTGCAGGTTCCACAGGTATGGCACATCCATAGTTGTATTGGTCCAAGCTGGACCCATGTGACTATGTAAAAATTGCCATACCTTAACTTCAGCTTTAAGAACACATAGCTCAAACTGCCAGTGTATTGGGGCTTTGCAGGGTCCCCTTTCCTCGGGACAGCCCTGGACCTGTGAGGCCCCAAAATCCTATGTGACACTTTTTGTTCTTAAAGAGGCACAGACTGCACATGTGCAAGTTTACTTGGCGCTTTGGAATGGTCCTGCAGCCTCCTGGGACATGTGACATGTGAGGGGGTGGGATAAGGGGCATCATCCTTGTCCAAGCAAGGATTGCGTAATTGGGAGCGAGTTCTGGTAAATATCTTGCTCCATCCAAAGAAAAAACTTGTCTCCATTACAAGCTGGAGTGAGCCAGTGAACCAGCGGGACTTTTTAAGTGAAGTTCCAGTTTAATACATTTTTGGGGTGCAGGTGACTTCCTTTTGCTGAGTTTACACATGGGCAGCACAGTGGCTAAGTGGTTAGCACTTCCTCCTGGCAGTACTAGGGTCGTTGGTTCGAATCCTAACCATGGCACCACCTGCCTGCAGTTTGCATGTTCTCCCTGTGCCTGTGTGGGTTTCCTCTGGGTTCTCCGGTTTCCTCCCACACTCCAAAGACATGCTGGTAGGTTAATTGGATCCTGTCTAAATTGGCCCTAATATGTGTATGTATGAATGTGAGTTAGGGACCTTAGATTGTACACCCCTTGAGGGTTACGGACTGATGTGAATGTACAATATATATATATATGTAAAGCGCTGCGTAAATTGACGGCACTATACAAATACCTGAGATAAATAAATAATAATACACAATGCCATCTGTTGCGGTTACTACTTTGAACCACATCTGGTCCAGCACCATCAGGTACAAGACTTTCCAGTGTTTTTTTTTTGTTTTTTCTTTCTTTTTTGCTCCCTGTGGCTTCCTGTCCCGGTGACATAGACACCCTTTCATTTTATATCCTGGTGTCACAAGGACAAGAAATGAAAAAAATCTTCTCCAATGAAGGTGTAAACGTTGGCAGAGGTTCCCACTCTTGCCCGCTTAAAGTTTGGGTTTCACAAAAAAAAAAGTTAATTCTAGGTGGATGCAGCATTGATCCAGCACTACATCAAGAACTGATTACACTCCATTCTGATCAGGGAGTGGTGACTGTCAGTCACCGGCTCTCTGCTCTGGGGCTCCAGCACCCACTGGACTGTCGGGCTATGGAGAGGACAGGAGCGCCTTGCTCAGTCTCTCAGTGGTTCGCTGAGAGGCCAGGCCAGCTACTGGTCCAGTCTGCTAGGTGGATCCTGACTGTAAAGTTGGGATCGATCCAGTATCTGGACTGGCTGAGTGACGTCAGTCAAAAATGGACTTTAGCCCGCTCTGGGCTGAAAACGGGTCACAGGAATGCAGAACGAACTTCATTCCTGTGATCCATAGGAGAATTACAGCTAAAAAAACCCTTTGGCCCTACTTCTCCTTTAAATATTATGAAAAAAAGTCACTTTGCCCCATATGGGTTAGGTAGGGGGAGAAGGGGGCCCTGTCTGAACAAGCGTAGAGTATCCAGCAATTACTGTGGGCTGCTGGGGTATGTACTTCATATACAGATCATCTGATCTCTTTGTCTTACTGTAGATCCTGACAGATTGGCAGGACAAGAAGGGAGACCGGAGATTTCTGAAGCTTGGGAAAGAACACGAACCCGGGACACCCGTCAAACATAAACCCAAGAAGCCAAAGCTCGAAGGAAAGGGAAGTCACGCATCGGGGCAAGGCCCAGGAAGACCCAAGTCCAGGAACCTACAGCCAAAGATCCAGGAGTATGAGTTCACGGATGACCCCGTGGATGTGCCCAGGATTCCCAAAAATGATGCCCCAAATAGGTACACCGATTGGTCAGCTGATCAGTTTGTGAATGATGAACAGATTGTGTTCGTTTGGATGATTCTCTGGTCTCAGTGGCCGGGGTTTTACAGCTCTGAACGCGGAAGTGCTCATGGCTGAATGAGCAATTCCAGGTTCACACTAACCAGGGAAATCTGAACAGATGCTGAACTCTAGCTGCTCCCTATCCTGACCCAAGACAAATGACAGGGGGTTGTCAGGTGGCACATTACTGTGCATGTAGAAGTGATCAGATGGTTTTGTAGCAGAATCACTTCAACAAGAAAGCTGGCAGCTGAAAGCAGAAAGACAACAAACAAAATCCCAACTGCTGTGCAGGTAATAGTTATGTCAGAAGCAGTGAAAGGGTTAAAGGGACAGTTCACCCCAAACTCTAACTCTCCAGCATCATCCAAACATGGAAATAAAAGTAGAACTAAAGGGATTTTTTTTTTGTCACAGTAACCCCTGTTGGATTTTTACCATCTGTGTCCCATTGGGGAGATTTCCCTTCACTTCCTGTCCAATAACCGCAATAGGAAATGAGAGGAAATCCCTCCAGAGTGAGGGAATCCCTGGTTGTCACCAGAATTGGTGCCCCCATTGGAAGTTCACCTCTCCATTCCTGTTTCTTTGAAAACCCAAAATTTGGTATTTCCTTTTAATGATAATGGTAAACAGGACAGTGAGGGGTAGATTGACCTACAGGGACATAGACAGCAATGAAAGCAACTGATGGGTTCTAATCCATCTCTACTATTATTTATTTATATATATATATATATGTTTGTGTTTAGTTATATTTTAAACACCCTGACAGTCTCTTTTATGTCTTGGAGACTCTGTTGGTGATATCTCTGCACTGAGTTCCCAGGTCTGCACACCTACGTTGCCCATTATGTGGAGCTCCCACCATCCCTGCTTTAATTTTCTTATTTTATATTATGAAGAATGTAAGAGGAGACGCTGGAACACCCCAAATACCCAAGTGGGCAGGAACAGTTAACAGAGAGATCTCGCTGCTGGGGTTCCGAGAAATATTAGAAGCTGGAGGTTGCCTTGTCCCACCAGGATCCTTTTATAAATAAAATATCACTTTTTGGTTTACTGGCTGAGCTACTGGTAGCAGGAACTAGAGCGAGCATAGGGATTTCAACTGGGATCGGATCCAAAACTTGCTTTCTTGGCTTTGGATAAAGTGGTGAAGGGTTTCCCATCTACCAGGTCCTCTGTTCCACCTGTGATTCTGGCAGAGAGATTTAATCTCACTGCCGGACCTGCCATTTGCTTCCCTTTTTCTCTCCTTGTTTTGTTGGTGGGGACCAGGGAAATTAAAATAAAAAGGAATGCATATCATCTTTGCGGTTACCTCCATGTACAGAAAGGGTTATTTACGGTAAGAGCTGTGAAAATGTGGAATAGTCTTCCCAATCTATTAGACGTGTGGTTTGTTTATGTTCCGAATAGAAATTTGGATGAATTGTTCATTATTCGGAGATTTAAATGTATCCGAATTACAATAGAAACAAATCCAAAGTAATGAAACCTAATTACGTCTGAGAATCAAAATTCGCATTCAAACACAGGATTGGAATAAAATAGAATAGAAAAAAAAGGAATAGAGAAACATAATAGAATAGAAAAACATTTTAATAGAATTGAATAGAAAATAAAGAAATAGAAAAGAACAGAATAAAACAGAAAAAGAAAAGAATAAAATAGAATATAACCACCTTCCGAAATTCGAAAAGAATAGAATAAAGTAAAATAATAGAATAGATAAACAATAGAATAGAATAAAATAGAACCTTCTTCTGAAATTCGAATTTTGAATAGAATAAATTTAAATTCGAATGTTGATTCGATACTTTTCAATTCAGTCAAATTGAATTCAATAGAATAGAAAATAATATATTAGAACAGAACAGAATAGGAAATAAAAGAATAGAATAGCAAAACAATAACATATAACCGTCCTCCAAAATTTGAATTTTGAATAGAATAAATTTGAATTAGAATGTCGATTCGATACTTTTCAGTTCGGTCAAATTGAATTCAATAGAAAATGAAGGATTAGAATAGAAGATAATATTGTAAAATAGAATAGGAAGTAAAAGAATCGAATAGTAAAACAATAAAATATAATCGTCCTCCAAAATTTGAATTAGAATGTTGATTCAATACTTTTCAGTTCGGTCAAATTGAATTCAATTTGACTTAATTCGGAAAATCCAAATTGAATTTTAAAACGAATAAACAAATTTTGAAAATGAATTAAACAAATTTAACTAAACAAAATCATTTAAATAATGAAACAAAACTATTTTTTTCATTCTGCACATGTCTACACTGTATGCTTTTCATAACAGAGGAGCATTCACAGACTTTCCTATCTCACCCTGCAGATTTTGGGCCTCGGTGGAACCGTATTGTGCTGACATAACTACAGAAGAGATCAAAGTGCTGGAAGACCTTCTGAAGACTCCAGAGGATGAGGCTGACTACTACAAAGTAGGGTCATATATCCATGCAAGGTGCTGCAATCTGCAGCATTTAAATTGAGAAAAAAATACTTATACAATGTTTTCTTTTTAAAAGCTGGAGGAGAGCTAAGATCTCATTTGGGTTTTTATTTCCATCTGTGTCCCCATTGGAAAGATTTTCCCTTACTTCCTGACTCTGTGACACCAGGAAAAAACTGAGCAGTTGTCAGGGACCGAAAGACACAGACAGGACTAAAATAAGTTGACAGATGTTCTAACCCCTCCCACCCAACTGAAATGTGTTCTTGTTTGTGTCTCTGTCCCTTTTTGGAGAAATTTCCCATCACATCCGGATTGAAAATCTGCAAAAACAAAATGACTCAACCCCTTTTTAACTATCCCATTTCAGATTCCTCCTCTGGGGAAGCATTATTCACAGCGCTGGGCCCAGGAGGATCTGCAGGAGGAACAGAAAGATGGAGCCAGAGCTTCCATGGCAGCAGACAAGAAGAAAGGGGCCCTGGGGCCACTCACTGAATTGGACTCCAAAGGTAACAATGGCCCTAAAATGCAAAGCTCTGTAACTTTAGCTGGTTATGATTTTATAGGGATTTTGGAAGCTGACCTCCAGCCTTCCCTTCAGTCTTGCACAGTTACCGGCTTCTCTGCTGAACTGAAATGGCTTCCTCTGATTTCACTGCACACTGTGAGCTTCTCATAATGTGCATTAGAAGCTGCAGCAAATCAGAGAGAGCCTGCCTCATTTCCTGGTTGGAGGACATCCAGCATTATCCAGGCTTTCCTCCCCAGCCTGACTGTGCCTAGTCCCCCCCTTATTGGATTTTTTTTCTTTTTATCATTTAGGCTCAGCGTCATATATTGGCGTTACTTAAGACGGTCTGCATGCAAGTACATCCCGCATGGGTCAGCAGATATACTAACAGATCTGCAGGAGACCTGCATGGCACCAGCGATCTGTTGATCACTGATGCAATGGTTTCCAGGCTCCTGCAGACAAAAATAAAAAAAATGCACTTTTTTTTTTTTTTACCTGCAAAAAAAGTGCATTTATTAATTTTGGTCAAAGGTAAACAGATTTAAAGCGGAGCTCCAGTCCCCCTAAAAAAATTTTTCTCAAAAGCAGATCCACAATGACATTACAAATAGCATTAACAATTGGAATAATTAAATATGAAAGAATTGTAATTACTTAGAAAATCGCAAACATTTACCAGGATCTCGGAAGCAGGCAGGCGCCATGATGGCTGTGGGCATCTGAAGCCCACAGGTATTTATTTCCTAGGCTATCCCAGCATGCAACTCTCGTTCTTGCGCATGCGCAGTACATACACTGCTCAGGGCGACGTGTGCAGTACAGGTTGCCATAACAATAGTGGGGATGGATGAAGTTCCCGCCCCCGTCAGGCAACCTGTACAGCACTGTACTGCAAGGAAGGGAATATATCATGGACTCCGGTAAAATGGCGCGAGGCACCTCCCATTCGCATAATTTCCGGTTTCCATGTCCCGCGATTACAGGAAACCAAAGGACTCCTGGGTTACAGGAAACGACATCTCAGGGGACCTTGCAAATCGCCTTATGACGTCATCACCTAGGTAGGCAACCTGAGAGCCACAGACTACTACAAGTTCCATCATGCCTGTGCAAGTCATAGCTGTAACTGTCAGTTTTATAATCTTTGCAATGCCTCGTGGGAAATGTAGTTCCACAACAGCTAGAGAGCCGCAGGTTGCTTACCCCTGGCCTAGGCAGTCTGGACCGGAACTGCAGGCTTGCAGAGGATTAAAAGGTATGGATAATAATAAAAAAAAAAAATCAACTTGCGCTTTATTTCACAGGGACTACATAATAAGGTAAAGTATTACAAATGGGTGGAACTCCGCTTTATTGCATTTTCTGCATTAAGGTAAAAAACCTTCTATGTTCTGCTACACCCCAGCTCCCCCAAATACTTACCTGAGCCTGATTTCAATCCAGCACTGTGTCCGAGAGCAGCAGTACGCTCGGCTCTCCCTCTCCTCACTGGCCATAGAGGGAGCAGCTGGACCCATTGGCCCCTGCTGATATCAATCACAGGCAATGAGGGGGGGGTGGGGCCAAAACATGCTGTGTGTCAACGGACACACAGAACTAGGCTCAAGATTGAGCCTATGCAAGTGCCCCCATAGAAAGTGGCTTACTACTGAGATAGTCTGAAGGGGGGAGGAGCCCAAAGTGCTGGGAAGGACACCAGAAGAGGAAGATTGGGGATGCTCTGTGCAAAACTATTGCACAGAGCAGGTAAGTATAACATGTTTGTAATTTAAAAATAAACAAATACATTTTAGAGTCATTTTAAGGTCTTATTCATACAGAAGCCCTTACCACCCCTCCAAGAAAATATTCTGCAGTGGACATGCAGAACAGGATGGGCATTCCAGACATTCAGAAGGTGATACTGTCACCTCTTAAATGTCTGTAGTTTGATTTTTTTTTTTTTTTTTTTTTTTGATGGCAGCCAGATAGCAATTTTGAATCAGGTACCCAATGTTTGGCTCATGATTGCAGTGTGGCCCCATTTGCTTGATTAGATCGTGGAAGAACTGCCTGCCAATGGCAACATGGGGTATACTTTTAGCAAAAGCAAAGCATCATGACTGCGGCATGCACACAGTCCCCACTGAATGCCGCTGCAGTTTAAAGGGGGCATTAAATCCGTGATTAAAGTGCCTATTGTATAATGCAACCGACTCTGATACTTGTAATAATATGGTGTATGGTCATATTTTGTATATTTCCAGATGTCGACTCCCTGATGAAGAAATCTGAATCTCAACATAGACCAGCCTGAGGACGGCTGCCCGTTCGGTCATTTGACACAGCGCCTGTTGCAGGCTCTTGTGGAGGTAATTCATCCTTTTTGTCCTTTCAGCTTTTTAACTGATCCCATGGAGCAAGACTGGAAAAATCACTGCAGGCAGTCCACTCATTGTGCCTTTACAGGGTAACTCCTGTTTTGCTAAAAAAAAAAAAAAAAAAAAAAAATGACCCAGGATGCACACAGCATTGAAGTTCAAAATCCAGAATAACAGGCCAGGAAACTAGCATTTTCCAAAGGGGAGGTCAGCAATGGCAGCCAGCATTACTCCTTTATGACAGTTTCCCCTTAACTGCTTTCCTGCTGCCCTATAGCAAATATACTGCTACAGGGCGGCAGGGGTGCGCAAAACCATGTGTATATATTCTTGATAATGTGATTTTGCATTTCTGTGTAGGGGGCCCTACCTGTGCCGGTTTTCATGGCCTTGGCTGTCAATCACCGGGTCCCGGCCAGTGATTACTCATCGGCACTCGGTGATTGCCATCTTTTTTTTCTGACACATGGTCCCTACAGTGCCGACCCCAAATCTTTGGTAATTCCTCAGTTTCATGACATGCCCACATTACCGACGGAAGGAGAGAACTCTATGTAAACAATACAGTTTTCTCCCCTGTCAGCTCCTGCACACTGTTTTGTATGGCTCTGGAAACTAACAAGTAACTGAAAAAATGTAAAAAATAAAGTTTAAAACACGTAAACATAATATACTATATTTTTTTTTATTTTTATATATATATATATGTCTTTTTTTTTCACACGAATTGGGCTTTCTTTTGGTGGTATTTGAGCGCCTGTGCGTTTTTTTTTTTTTGTTTTTTTTTTTTTTTGTTTTTTTTTGTGCTTTAAGCAAAAAAAGACCGACAATTTTGAGAAAAAAACAATATTTTGGACTTTTTGGTATTAAACATGTACAGTAATAAAAAATCAAATTTCGGCATAAATTTAGACCAAAATGTATTCTGCTCCGTGTCTTTGCTAAAAAAAAATCCCAATATGTGTAAATTAATTGGTTTACATGAAAGTTATAGTGTGCTCAAATGGTGGTATAGATAATGGGATTTTTTTTGTCTACTAGTAATGGCGGCGATCATCAGGACTGCAGCGGACATTCTGACACTGGGAGGGAACTAACTTGATGTCACTGAAATCTCCAGTGACACCAATACAGTGATCAGTGCTAAAAAAAAAAGCACTGACACTGTACTAATGGCACTGGGCAGGAAGGGGATAATGTGAGGGGCGATCAAAGGGTTAACTGTGTGCTGGGAGTGTTTTACAAGTGGCAATGGGTGTGTTCTTCACTGTAAGCACACTGATCGGGATGGCTGTACTGTGCACAGCCATCTTGAGCAGTGTGCTTTTGCTGACAGGGAGGAAGATTGTTTGTAAACAAAGCAATCTTCCTCCCCATTGGAGATGCTCGGTAATCAACGGACACTGGCGGTTAGTTATCGGCCGGGACCCGATGATTGACATCTGCAGCTGTGAATGGCGGCGCGAGTAGGGCAAGCGCGTGACTTGTGCGCGCCCCCTACCTGGAAATGCACAATCGCGTATATATACGTGATTTTGCACACAGGTGCCGCCCTGTACCGGTATATCTGCTATAGGGCGGTCCTTCAACTCTTCACGCCGGCCGCACACAAATGGGCGACCTCCTGGCATCTGGGTCTTGACGCCAAGCGGCCTCACATTTGTGTGCAGTTAAGAAAACATATGTGCTGAGAGCGAGCGCCCTGCGCGCTCCCAGCACACATGTCCGGTACTCGCGGAAATGTCCCTATCTCCTCTTTCGATCGGGACCTTTCCCAATCATGTGACAGCGAATCATGGCGGTCACATGACCTTAAAACCCCGTCCCGGCTTCTGAAACCCTTAAAGGGTCGGGAGGCGCCGGCACCAAGGGGTTAAAGTGACTCTAAACAATATTCAGTTATCCATACACATCCACTACTTAATGGTCCTGTAATCTATTTTTCATGAAATTGTCTTACTGTATTTTTCTTCTGCCTTGTAACATCCTCATTGAGCTCCCAAACCTCTTCTTTTCCCCATCTTTTCCATTTGTTTGCAACAACTAGTGTAAATTGGTTATCGGTCATGTACACTGCTCTCTGCACAGTACAAATCCCATAGTCTCTGGTCCATCTCGGAAGTAAGCAAGGGAGGGTGACTACATTCCCACTTAGAGTGGGAGAAAGGAAAATGAACATAGCCGTCCTCTAACAGGAAGTCAGATCACAGTAGCAAAAAAAGGCAATTTGTAGATTTGGAGGAGGCTGAAAGCGGGACTTTTTTTTTTTTTTTTTTTTTTTTTTTAGTTAAAGCAGCACTATCGGCAAAACTTTTTTTTCATTTTGAAGTAATGGAAATTTATTTCCCCATCAGGTTTTTTTTTTTTTTTTTTTTGCCATCTGTGTCCCATTAGGGAGATTTACCTTCACTTCCTGTCCCATAGCCAAACAGGAAGTGAGAGGAAATCCTTGCACATTAAGGGAATCCACATGCTTTTTCAAGGCAGTTGGCTGCTCTAGTCTCCATAAATTCCCCTCTTTAGCTTTGGGCATCAATTCACATATGTGCGATTTCAGATGCATTTTAAACCGCAATGATTCGGTTTCCATAGAAATATATATTGATTATCTCTATTTCTTTTCAGGAAAATATAATTTCGCCTATTGAAGATTCCCCAATTCCTGAAAAGGAATCGGGAATGGATGGAGCCAGTACCTCACCTCGAAGTCAAATGAAACCTTTTAGGTAATGGGAAATATACTTGATCAGAAAGCTGACTAAGTATGGTGCTGGTTGAAGGGTCACACCATGCAAAACTGATATTTCACCTGAGTGGACTGGAGCCAAACTCAAAAAAGATTATGTAATAAGGGGCAGCTAACAAGTCTGTTGTTTATTTCAAAAGCACAGCCTTTTCATCTCTCCAGTGGAATGTTTGTTCTGCACTGTCTATAGCGGCCATCATGGTAGAGGCAGGGCTTTGCTTCCTTATGTCAAAGCCTCCAGCAAGGAGAACGGTGAGCTGCACCATAGTGAAATCACCAAATCTCACTCTAAATTTCCTGAGACTGGCAGTCGGAGGCCTTATATCTTACATTACAGTTCAAATATATTTTTCTTCCATGTGGGAAGGCATGGTAACATAAGGCCTAATGCAGACTTAGAGTTAAACTTGTTGAATTTGTGGGTATTTGTGGTTTTTTTTTTTTTTTTTTTTTTTTATTGTAATTTTTAAATTTCTTCCTCTAAACACCCTCCACGTTATACTATGTGTCCATGCGCATGTCCAGCCAGCGCATCCTGGAGCAAATATATGTCTAAATGCACATTAACGCTAGGCACGTCAAGCGCTGGAGCATTAATCCATTTCAATGGCCAAAATAAATTATTTTTCTGACCAATGAATATAATAGCACCCAAGCAGTTGATGAGCCTAAACACGTCTAGGCGCGTTTACTTGTGTCAAGTGTTTTTCTGCCAAAATGCCGCCGCCATGGGGCCTAATAATGGGGAATAAATCAGCTGTAAGGAGCCAGCAGCCAAAACTGATGACTAGTCCTTTGCCCTCTGCCAGCCATTCTTGGGCACAGCTTTCAGAATTTAGTTCCACTTTAACCCCTTCCCGCCAAGCGTACACAAATGTGCAGCCCCACTGGACTGGGCTTTTTTCTGTTGGCCGCATATTTACGTATCTGTCTTTGAGTTGGGTGCTCCCAGCACAGAGACTGGGGTCTTACCGAGAACCCTGGGTCCCGTACTAAAAATTGGGACCCGGAACACCCAATTCCAGGTCACTTGATCACTGTGATAGCCTCTGATTGGCTATTAAAGTGATAAGTCACCACCCCTGTGCTTTCTCACTCACAATGGAGGAAAGTGATGCATTGTGTGTCGCTCGCTCGCTCTCTCTCTCTTCTCTCTCGCTCTCGCTCTCTCTCCTTTTTTAGAGAGAGGGAAAAAAACAAGTTTGTAAAATAAATACAATAAAAAAAAAAGTCTAGACCAAGGTTTGATCTAAGTCAGTACCGTCAGTGTTTTGGGTCAAGGTCAGTCAAAGATCAGGGTCAGTATTTTAAAAAAAAAAATTTAATGAGTATTAGTGCCAGTTAACATACACAGTACTGCGATTGTCAGTCGCTCCTGTCTGCTCTAGAACCCAAGAGCTTTGGCTGTACGTATCCTTTTAAGTTTTGTAATTTTTTTTTTTTTTTTTTACTATTTTGGGCAAGTTTAAAAAAAAATAGTCATGACACCGCCTTTAACATTTGTCACTGGATGAAGGCCCGGTATATCCTGAAACATCTGGACAAAGTTGTTGTGATCAGGGCTTTTCGATAAAAATACACTAAAATCGTTATTAGCAGACACACACACACAATTTCTGCTAAATATAAAAGGTAAAATTGTTTAAGGTGATAAATAAAGCTTTGTATGTGAATGAGATCTTGGGTCTCATTCACATGGGTGTTGTGGCCTGTACAGTGTCAAATCCTTTTTTTTTTTTTTTTTTTTGGATTGGTGTGTGCGTTCAGGTGTATGGCCCTAAACATAGACAATGTGCATTTGGGGCCGCTCACCCACGCATGCACACCTCTCAAATTAGGACTTTGTTTGTACAGCCGCTTCATCATCATAAACCAACCACTCATTCGCACTGTATGGGCCAGAGAAACCGTGTGAATGTGCCCTTAATTTTTTAAAAATATTTTTATAATTTTTTTTTTTCAGAATGTTGTTGGGTGGAGGGGGTTGATGAAATATCAGGGCTCTAAACAGACCCCTGATGTCTCACTTACGAAACAGAGAAAGAGACTGAGGATATAAATTCCTCAGTCCCTTTCTTTGCAGCCTCCGCTGCACTGAACAGTGAATGAACAGAAAGCACAGAGGCTCCTGTTCATTCACAAACTGAAGCGTAGAAAACTTTGTTTACTATGCTTCTGTTATGAATGAACACAGTGAGTGATCAGTTTCTATTACTATCTGTGTTCAATCAGGAAAGGACTGCTAAATTACTTATTTATAGTCCCCTACCCCCGCTCTATATCCTGAAACATCCCCCTGTGTATGCCTGCAGCTGCTGGCCGGAGGGAGAGGAAGGAAGCCAGAAGCACTGCGGGTGGGAGGCACACAAGGGGGTCTGGACAAAAGGGGGAAGAGGGTGGCATACAGGGAGGGTGATCAGCGTGGCAAGGGGGCAATTACTGGAACCAAACTCCTGTACGGCTTTTTCTGCAGCAGCTGAAAGCCGGCTTATACTGCTCTCCCTCCTGATGGCTTTCAGCTGCTGCAGAAAGAGCCATACAGGGGATCGGTTTCATTAATTCCTCCCCCCACCATGCTGATCACCCTCCCTGCCCACATCTGATTTCCCCTACTGCCCAGTTGTGTACATCTTTTGTCAGTTGATATTTTTTTTTTGTTTTTCTTATCCAGTTTGTGTCCCTTCGGGGAGATTTCACTTACAACAGGAAGTGAGTGCTGTCCCCATTAAAAGATTTCCCTTTCCGCCTGCTCTGGTGACAACTGTAAAATTGTGAATTTTCCATCACTTTGGTATCAGTCACCAGGACAAATAGAGGAGGGGTTGATTAAACTTAGGGGGGAGGGGAATAAAATCTGGACAGGGGTTCTTACCCTTCCTCACTCCATCATTAGCGAAAAATAAAACGTTTTAGATACATTTTAGGTTGAACCATAAAATGGTGGATATAGACACCCCTGTAGACTGACGTGACCCCTCTCTGTTGCAGTGCTCCACATACCAAGTCTTTGGAGATCCGGATTAAAGAGGAGTTAATAGCCCAGGGCCTGCTGGAGTCCGAGGATCGGCCAGCTGAGGACTCAGAGGATGAAGTGTTGGCCGAGTTGAGGAAGAGGCAGGCCGAGCTAAAGGCTCTCAGTGCCCACAACCGGGCCAAGAAAGTGGAGCTGTTGAGGTAAGCGGGTGCCTGGGACTGATTGCACCACAAGGATATCAGCCGAAGGCATTCTTCATCAATCATATATACAAGAATGCATACATTGCCAGCAGTTGGGGCAACCATGTTAAATCTACATACCAGAGAGGCCAGCCATCTACTAAACCTGTATTCAGGCACACCTTGATAATCATTGTCTCTTGTTTACTCCTTCATGCTGACTTTAAAAGTGTTACTAAACCCCGGACCCTGCATTCACTAATCCGCTCTCCCCGGACCCTGCGGTCACTACATCCGCTGTCCCCGGACCCTGCGGTCACTACATCCGCTCTCCCCGGGACCCTGCGGTCACTACATCCGCTCTCCCCGGACCCTGCGGTCACTATATCCGCTCTCCCCCCGGACCCTGCGGTCACTACATCCGCTCTCCCCGACCCTGCGGTCACTATATCCGCTCTCCCCGGACCCTGCGGTCACTATATCCGCTCTCCCCGGAGCCTGCGGTCACTCTATCCTCTCCCCGGACCCTGCGGTCACTCTATCCGCTCTCCCCCGGAGCCTGCGGTCACTCTATATCCGCTCTCCCCGGAGCCTGCGGTCACTCTATCCGCTCTCCCCGGAGCCTGCGGTCACTCTATCCGCTCTCCCCGGAGCCTGCGGTCACTCTATCCGCTCTCCCCGGAGCCTGCGGTCACTCTATCCGCTCTCCCCGGAGCCTGCGGTCACTCTATCCGCTCTCCCCGGACCCTGCGGTCACTCTATCCGCTCTCCCCGGACCCTGCGGTCACTCTATCCGCTCTCCCTGGACCCTGCATTCATGGGTGTGTATATATTTTATTTATTTATTTCAGGTACTTATATAGCGCCATCAATTTTACGAGCGCTTTACATATATAGATATATAGTACATTCACATCAGTCCCTAACCCTCAAGGGGTGTACAATCTAAGGTCCCCAACTTGCATTCGTACATACACATACTAGGGACAATTTAGACATGATTCAATTAACCTACCAGCATGTGTTTGGAGTGTGGGAGGAAACCGGAGTACCCGGAGGAAACCCACGCAGGCACAGGGAGAACATGCAAACTGCAGGCAGGTGGTGCCGTGGCTGGGATTCGAAACAAACGACCCTAGTACTGCCAGGCAGAAGTGCTAACCAGTGTATGTGTGTCTTTAGCGGCATTCTCAGCGCCCCACTAGTTTCTTATGGTTGTATCGCTTCTGTTCTACCAAAGGGTCCATCCTCCTGGGTGCTTCTCTAACCAGCTCTTGTACCTTTCAGGTTAGCAAAGGAGGAAATGAATAAACAAGAGCTGAGACACAGGGTGCGCATGGCCGACAATGAAGTCATGGACGCCTTCCGAAAAATAATGGCCGCCCGGCAGAAGAAAAGAACCCCAACCAAGAAGGAGAAGGACCAGGCTTGGAAAGCTCTGAAAGAAAGGGAGAGCATCTTAAAACTGTTAGATGGGTGAACCCGGGCCAATGAAGGAGCTTCATTTTGTTAATGCGGTGTTTTAGGTCGTTTTAGGCCTAACCTGCTACTAATTGTTCTGAACAATGGCGGTAAAAGAACTCCAAACTGAACCCCATGGGAGAAAGTTGGGTGATAAATGGGGAAGACTGTAGCGTGGTTTCGAATGACCACATGTATTGATATGGATGGTCCATAACCGACTGATTCCAGTTCTTGGCTTAATTCCTGGTTGTCACATCTACCCAGTTTGGCCATAGATGAGAAGATCTGGCCGATGAACAATGGGAATGGGAATATCGCCAGCCCAGTACATTCTGGGTGTGTAATTGTGATTATCTGTCAATCGTTTCTTGTTCTTGTTTGTGTTATCGTGTCTCCAGAAAGATTTTCTTTTTTATCTTTTCACTGTTTCAACATTGTGTTCATGACTGTTTGTTTTTTGTTTTGTTTTTTTATTGATGAAACTTTATGTGAAAATATTTTCAAGGAGATATTGATAAAATAAAAATATGACCCACAACAGAAGTTTGCTTTGATCACTTTGGTTTTGCCCAGACATTGCTACTGGAAAGTGCAAGTCCAAAAGCAGTAATAGCGCCACTCAATATGCAGTAAAGTTTTGAATTAAAGCGGAGCTCCACCCAAAAGGGGAAGTTCCGCTTTAAGGACTGCTCCCCCGCTCCCCATTAAGGATTGGCACCTTTTGGAGGGCAGGGGGGAGCGAGTACCCGAATCTGACAGCTACCCGCTCCCACTTCCGGTCCGATTGCCAAGGTGATCGGAAACGGAAGGTGTCCTCCCTCCCTGTAGTTTTTTGGGACATGTGACAGGTCCCAGAAGACTACAGGACCATTCTTGAAGCGCAGCGCTACTCTCACATGCGCAGTGGGTACCTGGCTGTGAAGCCGCAAGCTGTCACAGCCGGGTGCCCACACTGAAGAAGCCGGCCTCCTGGAATACAGGACGGCTGGTGAAACGAGCTGCGAGGGACACACCACGGGACCGAGGGACAGGTAAGTGGCTGTTTTTTCAAAGTCAGCAGCTACAGTTTTTTGACAGGTGAGTGGAACTCCACTTTAAGTGGTAGAAAAAGAAAACAGTACGTTTTTTTAAAAGTTGAGACTCTCCCTCTTTAATCAGGGTTTAAAGTGAGTTTAGTTAGTTTTCTTTTTTCTATAATCAGCACAGGGGACAGCGCTTTAGTTGGAGGAGAGTCCCTTGTGCTGAGGGCTGCTGTTTTAGTTGAAATCTTCCATCCTCTTCACCCCTTTCCCCCCCCCCCCCCCCCCCATCATACCCCTGCAGCAGTAATCTGCCAATGTTGCAGGTGGTAATACAGCTGCTAGCCCTATTACAGGCACTTGTCAAGAGTGCTGACTATGCTTGCTCTTTCCGCCCCCCTCCTCCATTTCATCCATCAATGAAAAGCTATGAATGGAGGAGAGATGGATGAAAATTCACCTCCTCCATTCATAGAGATTTTTTTATTAATAGATGAATGGAAGGGTTGGGCAGAAAGGACCGGCATAGTCGTCACTTTTGAATGCCTATGACAGGTCCTGCAGCTGCTTTCACCCTTCACAGCACTGATAACCACTGGGGGGGTATTGAGGGAGAGGGGGCAGAGGACTTCACCTAAGGCAACAGCCACCAGCACAAGGGACACTTCTCTGTAAGTACCATCTGTCACGACCCGCGGTCACCGCCACCAACAGGCGACAATCGCACAGCCGCGACTAACAGTAATACGTCACGCCCACGGCGTCAGACCCCAGACCTTCTCACCAAACTCGTGACCGAAGGGCCGGCCGATCCAAAACCGCGGTGTGACGCGCGTAACAAGGCCCCACCCAGCTGCACCCTACACAGCGATTGCCCAGCTAATGGACTACAATCGGTGCCTGCAGCCTGGATGCGCTTGTTACTGGGTCAGGTTAGCTACGCAACTAACCCTCTACTGCCACCACCACTTTTGTCGGAGACTGGGAAACTCCCGTTACTAAATATACACTATAATGATTGCAATATTGGTCTATATAGCACGGCCCGCGGACCTTGCTATACAGAGATATATGACAAACCGTAGCGTCTCTTCAAAGGCAGGGATTCGTGAATTGCAAGTAAGTGCTTAGAAACAGTTTAACACTTTCAGAAAGAAAGATTTATTTCTAACAGAGTCAAACAGATGCAAATAAATAGTTACAGAGATGACACAAAAATATATATATATATGTATACAAAGACACAGCAAACAGAATAGCGAGAAAATACAGGGTAAGTTACTTGCATTGCCTGGTTTTAGCAAATTCAAGTTGTGAGCCGAAAGGTTCTTTGATCTCCTCTGTTACGATGTTGCTCGGAGATCCCTGTGTGTGTGTGTGTGTGTGTGTGTGTGTGTGTGTGTGTCACAAACTCTAACTCTCTTAATAGGTCTCTCAGGGGAAGGGAAGGGGCTCTGACTTGGGAGTGGTCATTGGGAAACCCTACACTAAACTACCAGCTCATATCCCGTGATATGAACCATACATTTGATCTGAGGACTGTGCACTTATTCTGGTCGGTTTGATAATGAGTGGGCTTACATAGTTTTGGGTGATAAAAGTGACACCTTTGTAGACTGGCTGGCTCCACTTCTCATGTCTTCCTGGTTGTCCCCCACACCATCTGCCAGAAGATAACCTTTGCCTCACAGGAATGCAGGGGGGATGTGAGGAGTGATTTGAGAAATGCCTCAGATAAACAGATAGAACACGAAAACGAGGGTTGAGGGGGAACTCCGCTCCAATTCTGATGAGCAAGTTTGCCACACCATCTGATTAAAAATTAAACTTTGACTTAAAATAGATTACTCAATAGGATTCTGATGATATTTAGGCCTCATGGACAGAAGACATTTATTCCTCCCCTGGGACACCTTTGCTCTTGGCAGAAGAAAAAACAACTTAAAAATGCACCTAAAGTTGCGTTTTTCACACTGGCTTAGGTGTGTAAAGGGTTTGGTTGTTTATGGATTCCATTGGCCAGAATGTTAATTTATTGTGGCCATTGGAATGAATGATCACTCACTGATCAAGCACTAAACCTGCTTAATGCTTGGGTGCATTTAGCACGTTTTCTGCTCCTACGCTCCTCTCCTGAATGTGCTGGGGTTGTGTTTTTTATTAATTTTTAGCCTCTAAACGCTCCTCTTCCTATTCTTCTATAAACACCTACGTATCTCTGCATGGCTACATAGGGTAACATAAAAAAAAAAAAGTCAAACTCCTGTAAAAGCATTTTTTCCATCCTGTGTGCATAAGGCCTATAAATGCGGAATCAAAAAATCCATCCATAGACTGTATGAGCTGCACAGTCTGCTGATTGATATTACCCGATTCTTGATTTCATAGGTATGAATATTATCAGTTTATGTAAAAACGTTACTGGACTCTGAACATTGGTGTAGCTCCGTTACTACAGTCTACAAATTGTGGACTTTCCTCAAAACCCCCTTCTTGTTCTGGGAATTTTGGTGTATGTGAACAGCCTCACTGAAGTGAGTCAGCTTAAAGTGTTACTAAACCCCGGACCCTGCGTTCACTATATCTGGTCTCCCCGGACCCTGCGTTCACTATATCTGGTCTCCCCCGGACCCTGCGTTCACTATATCTGGTCTCCCCGGACCCTGCGTTCACTATATCTGGTCTCCCAGGACCCTGCGTTCACTATATCTGGTCTCCCCCCGGACCCTGCGTTCACTATATCCGGTCTCCCCGGACCCTGCATTTACTATATCCGGTCTCCCCGGACCCTGCATTTACTATATCCAGTCTCCCCGGACCCTGCATTCACTATATCCGCTCTCCCCGGACCCTGCATTCACTATATCCGCTCTCCCCGGACCCTGCATTCACTATATCCGCTCTCCCCGGACCCTGCATTCACTATATCCGCTCTCCCCGGACCCTGCATTCACTATATCCGGTCTCCCCGGACCCTGCGTTCACTATATCCGGTCTCCCCCCGGACCCTGCATTCACTATATCCGGTCTCCCCGGACCCTGCATTCACTATATCTGGTCTCCCTGGACCCCGCGATCACTGTATCCGCTCTCCCCGGACCCTGCATTCACTATATCTGGTCTCCCCGGACCCTGCATTCACTATATCTGGTCTCCCCGGACCCTGCATTCACTGTATCCGCTCTCCCCGGACCCCGCATTCACTATATCTGGTCTCCCCGGACCCTGCATTTACTATATCTGGTGTTCCAGGACCCTGCATTCACTTTATCCGCTCTCCCCCCCCACCCTGCATTCACTATATCTGGTCTCTCCGGACCCTGCATTCACTATATCCACTCTCCCCGGACCCTGTATTCACTATATCCACTCTCCCCGGACCCTGCATTCACTATATCCGGTCTCCCCGGACCCCGCATTCACTATATCTGGTCTCCCAGGACCCTGCATTCACTATATCTGGTCTCCCAGGACCCTGCATTCACTATATCCGCTCACCCTGCATTCACTATATCTGGTCTCCCAGGACCCTGCATTCACTATATCTGGTCTCCCCAGACCCTGCATTCACTATATCTGGTCTCCCGGGACCCTGCATTTACTATATCAGGTGTTCCAGGGCCCTGCATTCACTTTATCCACTCTCCCCCCACCCTGCATTCACTATATCTGGAATCTCCGGACCCTGCATTCACTATATCCACTCTCCACGGACCCTGCATTCACTATATCCTGTCTCCCCGGACCCTGCATTCACTACAGCCTGTCTCCCCGGACCCTGCATTCACTATATCCGGTCTCCCCGGACCCTGCATTCACTTTATCCGCTCACCCTGCATTCACTATATCTGGTCTCTCTGGACCCTGCATTCACTATATCCACTCTCCCCGGACCCTGCATTCACTATATCCGGTCTCCCCGGACCCTGCATTCACTATATCTAGTCTCCCAGGACCCTGCATTCACTATAGCCGGTCTCCCAGGACCCTGCATTCA